TTTATGTTGTCTTTGTATTCATATAATACCTAATTACATTTTTAAAAACGGTATTTTTATATATTATAATACCACAAGAGAAAAAATTTTGTCGGCAAAATTTTCGAAAGGCATAAAAGTTTGTTGTGTGGCAATTTCGTGAAGGACATTTTTGACAAAATCACGAGCCGTCTGGCGAGTGATTTAATCAAAAATGTCATGAGCGAAATTGCCGAAAAGCAACAATGATAATTGTTTGAAACAAGCCTCAAGCTGTGCCTCAAGTGACTTCGATCAGTTTGTTCAGATCGAAAGAATACCTGGATTGTCAGCTGAATACCGAATTTATTGCCGGTGTATTACATTCTAATGAAATAATCGGGGATAATACCACTTGAGCTTCAAAATTAACCAGATAATTTTTCACTCATGCGTGTTTTCACTGCAAATTTCACTCGTCCTGTGAAAAATTATCGGTAATTTTGAAGCTTTCGTGGTATTATCCCCGATTATTCCACTCATGTGTTAGAAATCTCATAAGACAAGTGACGATTTTCAGAATTATAGCGAAAATTCTCTTTTCCATTTGTTTAACTAGAGACAAGTACAGCGATAATTCTCCCATGTTATTGTATACATGGTTGTCATGCTAATTTTTGATACAAACAAACGGTTCCTGATAGCAACCATTTATTTGTATTGATTGTTAAGATGTTCAAATCGTTTAATACATATTTATTTCCATATTTTTCGCATTCTCATACGTGAAATAATCCTCTAAATACCACTTGAGCTTAAAAATAAACCAGATAATTTTTCACTTATGCGTGTTTTCTCTGCAAATTTCACTCGTCCTACGGACTCGTGAAATTATAGAAAACACGATATCGTGAAAAATTATCGGTAATTTTGAAGCTCTCGTGGTATTATCCCCGATTATTTCGCGTACGAGAATGCAAAAAATATGGAAATAAATATGTATTAAACGATTTGAACATCTTAACACTCAATACAAATAAATGGTTGCTATCACCCACATAACAAAATTGCATCCTTAGAATGTATTAAGAATGTTCTTTTTTTAAAAAGAATGTGCCTAGAATGTTCGCCAAAACCATTGCGAATGTCCTGAGAATGTTCTGAGAAAAGATTGTAGAAATACTGTTTGCAATACCCAAGAACTTCCTGGGAAATCCATTAGGATATTCTTAGAATATACCTATGAGATTCTCAGTATATCCTGAAAAGAATATTCCTGTTTGATTCTAAAAATATGCTCGAAATGTACATTCTCATATTCAAAGAATGTTTCTATGACATTATAGTTATGTTCTCAAAAGAATATTATACCAATATGCTTGAAATATTCTTAGAATATATCTACATATATCATTCTCAATATACATCCTAGACATAACATCCTTTTATATTAAAGGCAGTGAAAGAATTGTTGGAAAGTTTCTCTGGAAAACACAAGCGTTTAACCAAAACTCCGGTTTCGAGCTTGTTATGCTCTCGCCCAAGCATGCCAACTGAGAGAAACAGGTTCCAAGGTGTAGGTAGCATTAGGTAATCTTCTTTCAAAGAGCTAAGGGGATAGTTGCGTCAGACATATGGTCATGTAACTCTTCTGCTTTGTGGCTGCAGAATATAAAGGTGTATGAAGACTATTTTTTGACAGCTGATGTTAAATTTTTTTGAAGTGCCACTCGCTGCTGATAGCTCTGTTCGCGGATCATATTTTGAACCGATTCCGAACCAGTCCGGAACTAATTGAGGACTATCGTAGAGCGCATGCCCAGTTATAGCTGTGATCGGCTTGCTCACTCCGTGCACTCCGAGTGATTCCGTTCGCACTTCAGCCGTTCGGGTATTACCTTTTAGCTTATCAGATAACGGCTGGAGTGCGATCGGAGTAACTCGGAGTGAGCAACCCGAACCCAACTTGCGGATGGGTTCAGGTTCCTTTTTTATCGCGAACAGTTTTGGAACCGAACAAAAACTCCAGAACCTTGCTCCAGACTGTCGAATACGTGAACGAATTGCGAATGTCATGTCTCAAACTTGAAGTTAGCTTAGCCTGGGACCGGTGGAATTTGTTCAGAATCGGTTCCGAATCGTTTCTGGTGAAAGCATGAATATATAACGACAAAAACACATTTTTTTTTTGCACTGATTCAGCAAATGGAAATCGCTATGAATTTGATTCTGCTTGTCATATTTCTGAATTTGACAGATGACACGTCGTCTGTTTCTGTTTACACTTTTTTCTCCGCACTCCCGCACCACACCGTTTCTTATTTTTGGTTATTTAAGGCGATTGCTTAAGGCCATGTTGATATTATTTCTTAGTGAGCATCTCCAACCTATTATCTACCTGTTTCCAAAATTTCATCTCGATTGGTTTAGTAGTTTTCGAGATTTAATCAGTCAGTCAGTGAGTGAGTGAATTTCAACAACAATAACAAAAAATTGAAAAAACAACATAAAAATTTCACTTGTAAATTGGTAGGTATCTAAACATCTGGCAACATAGCATAATAAAAAATAGGTGGTTGAACGTTAAACCTTGGTTGAACTGAATAAATTGATTCTTGATTTGTCTTGTCTAGTTGGGAAACGCGCGTAATTCAAATCCATTCTTTTTTGAAAATAAAATATTTACAAAAGTCGAATATCTATGCAGATACTTGTTTAGGTAGAATCGTTGCAAAATGCTTATTCAGCCGCCAGAATTTACAGCGAAACTAGGGAAAGATTTTCGAAAAGAAAAGTACCCATGGAAAAATATTGTCACACTGTGCCCGTTTTACAAAGATTGCGTGATACCTGAAGTATGAGTGTGCAAAATCTGCGTGTTGATTTTTGTGTTTTGAGAACCTCTTAACAAAAATTAATATTTTCAAATTAAGATTTGGCAAGTAGCTGAGTAAGGGGTCTGGAAAAGTATAGGTATATCCGATTTTTCGATTTTTTTTTTAACAGGTAAACCAACTCATCTAGAACGCATAAAAAAATAAAAATCTGTGAAACAAGCATGTTTAGATTAAAAAAAAAAACGATCTGGCAACTTATAGGTCCCAATACAAAGTACTAGTTTAGTGAAGGTCCTTCAGAAAAATATCATGCTTCATAGATAGTTTAGTTTGATCCCAAAATATTGTTTTAGGATCAAAAATGTTGGCGCAAATAACTATAAATTGGATTTCATAAATATTGAATGAATCCTCTTCTCGACCTTTGACACAGATCAATACATAATATCTATTCTTATCATATATAATATCACAGGAGAAAAAAAATTGTCAGCAAAATTTCCGAAAGGTATGAAAATTTGTTGTTTAGCAATTTCGCGAATGACATTTTTGACAAAATCACGAGCCGTCAGGCGAGTGATTTTATCTAAAATGTCATGAGCGAAATTGCCAAAAAGCAACAAACTTGAATAAAACCTTGAGAACAATTTTGCCTACACAATTTTTTCTCGAGTGGTATTCGTCATGACTATTTTACGTAAGATTTTTGAAAATAAATAGAATGCAAAAATATGAATAAAAACATCAAATTAAAAATATCAGTTTGACAATGTCAAAAAATGGTCGCTGAAATACCATGTTGTTGGTATTGTCCAGTTAGCAATATTGTCAGCTGAATACGGAATTTATTGCCGGTGTAATACACTTTAGTGAAATAGTCAAGAAAATACGCAGTGTGGCGAGAATCGAAATACCTTTAAAACAAGGTACTTTTTTCAACTGTCAATATTTCCGAAACAGTCGATGATAAATATATGATATTAGGTATACACGAAATATGTCTAGAATTTTCCGCAAAATCCATAGATGTCATTATATACAGGGTGGTCCATTTGAAAAAACAAAGTTTCTGATATTTCCCAAAAAACGAAAGATTTGATATCCATGTAACCTACTACTAAACCTAAAATCGTGTAAGCCATTTTCGAGATACCTACTTGCGACGTTCCACACTTGAAACTCACTCTGTAGGTATGTTTTTAGATAGATGCTCCGTCACCTCTTCTATCTCTACAAGAATGAACAGCATCATAGTTTTCCAACCCATACAAGAATGTTTCATTCCTTCCTAATCCCTGCTAGCACGAAACACTGCACATCGTCTATTTTGTTATTACACTTTGTGTGTTTATGTGAGTAAGCTAATATAACTGATTTTGATTTTCGAGACCCATTCAATTTTCTAGCTCATCCAGACCATCAACGCAACGGGCAATATTTCACTTGTGTCGTCCTTTCTGAGGAAGATGCTACCATTGTTAATCCATAGATATTTGTAGTTAGTTTCTCTTTTGTAGGTTTTTGCTGCCATATACAAATCAAGGTTGGTTTTTATCAAGATATTTAAATAAATTTTCTTATCCTGCGTATAGCTAAGTCTTTACTGCTCACCTCAAACCTAGCTCCAAATTTTATCCGTAGCATACACCATTTTTTTTTCATTCACAAATTCAACTTTTATTTTTTGAATTTGTTTTATTCTAGAAAAAAATTATCTGTGTGTTCATGTCATTAAATTATTTGCCAAATCTTTGTGTTTGTATTTTTTATGAACGATCAAATTAAAATGTGTTGCCTTAACGACTTTTTTTTTTGGCAGGCATATCTAGGTATCGCAACAGCCCACATAGCAAGTCACATTAAATATTGTATTAAGTTTAAGTTTTTTTTTATTATTATTGGTACCTAAATATATTGGTATGTGAGTGACTAATATTGGTGAGATACAAAATTATTGCCGTGCCAATAGATTTGGTAGGAAGGAAAATTTTACGATTTTTTTTAAATAATGTGAAAATTTTGAAAAACTTGAGACTTAGGGTTGCTCTTATCTTCTAGTTACATCAAGAACGGAGTCTTCATTCAGTATAAAAATAGGGTTTCACCGACACTGATGTCCTGATCGCACGGTGCAAGGCAAGATTCCCGATTATTCTCGGTATCCAGGCCTTTCGCCAGCTAAAGTTAAGTCTACATGCGCACGAAGCTCCCATTTTCCCGATTTCATGCCGAATCTGAAATTAGTCATCAGCCGGCGGCCTCTTCACTTATTTTGAAAAATACTCTGCTCAGTGTTAGTGAGTTAGTACGTTTACCTCTAACTTAATTCCTGGTAAGTAATATTTCGAGTACAAAAATATTGAAATAGATAGGTACATTTACTAATCCAAAGTTTTAAGAATAAAAAACTGCTGAGCCATGCTAAATTTAATCTCATATGCGTGTATGCGTCCCGAAAAAAAAATTCTATAAATACTTTAGAGTACAGTAGTGTATTTCAAGTTACAGGTTCACTTATGTTCAAGAAACTATTTTAAATGGGATTAGATATTTAACTATCACAAAATAGCTAATGCCGTTCTTAGAAAATTATTATGTTAACTGAGAATTTATTTTATTTAAATTAATTCAAGAAATGTATGCTTGTTAGCGTTTTAACAGCAAACTGTAAATGCAATGTATTTCAATTAAATATTGTTTTTTTTTATTTATATTTCATACATTACGTTAATTTATAACCTACTAATTTGAATGCATGAGTACAGTCAAATCTGCAAATTTTTGTACCACCACGTCAGACATCCAGTCAAAATTTGTCGACGATGAGTGTGACAAAAATGTAAAGCAAAGTGTTCGCCAAAAAAAAAAAAAAAAAACGGAATGAGCATTCTGGAACAAATTTTAATTTGTCGCACCTAACCTAACCTAACTGCGTGTCATTTTGGTAATACATTTTATTTATTTACAACTATACAGGGTGGCCCATTTTCGATGTTTTAATAGGCTATATCGAAAACTAGCAGAGGTATCAAAAATCTGGGAGCACATTCTCGAGCTCTTTTTTTGAGAAAATAACAATGGCGAAGACAAATCACGGCTAACTTGATGCGTTTAGGAAGTACAGGGCACTTTTCAAATTTTGTCCAATTTTAAAAGACTCCCTAATTTCCTTATTATTCAAGACTAGCTAATGACCCGCTGCGTTGCCAGCGTGAAAATAAATTTTGAAATAATACACTTTTTTTCACATTTTGTTGTTGATTTTTTATTTAAATTTAATCCGATACCAGAGTCGCTTGCCAGTGAGTTCAGTTACGCATTTTAAGCACTCCAGAGCTGTTCTAGAGCGCCCCGGGCTGTTTATAGGCGTTCCAGTGTATCAGAGTTTCGCGCAACCGAACTTTGTTTTTCGGGATAAAAAATAGCTTATAGCTCTCCCCTCTTTAATCGAATTCGATTGACCGGATTAGATCGATCTGGTTCAATTTAAGTGAACCACACTGTGTTCGATTGAGGCTGGATTAGTGCATTCTCATTAACAAAATAATGATCTAGATCAGAAGAAGTTCACTTAAATTAAACCCAAATCGATCTAATCTGGGTCAATCGAATTCAGCTTATACAGGGTGTTCCGAAATTAATGCACCAAATTTTTATGGCATATTCTACGTGGAAAATAAGCCCTACTTACCTATATAAACATATGTCCGGAAACCCTTCCTTTCCGAGATACAGGGTGTTGAAATTCTAAGAAAAAAACTATTTCATTATCATAATTCATAGCACTTTGAAATCTTGTACACTGGCTTCAAGCAACCAAAGACATTTTCTGATGTGGAATATTTAATAAAAAAATTACCAGTGACGTCACAAAACTTTAGGTCTTTAATGTTTAACGTTTTTATCATAATTTTGGCAATTTCGCCATGTATCAAAATGGTTTTTTATTTTTTTACTTTAAAACAGTGCATCTTTCGGAAAAAAGTGAAGGGATCAAATTTGTTCTAAATTGAATGGGGATTTGGAAAATGATTTTTATTTTAGAAAAAAGCAGTGGCGTATCATTTTTTTTTTGGAAAATATTCCTCACAAATCTGGTAGGACGCCACTGGTAATTTAAAAAAAAAATAATTTCACATCAAAAAATGTCTTTTGCTGCTTGAAACCAGTGTACAAAATTTCAATGAAATATCTAGTGTGGTTTGAAAATTATGATAGAAAAATAGTTTTTTTCTTAGAATTTCAACACCCTGTATCTCGGAAAGGAAGCATTTCCGGACATATATATATAGATATCCAAAAACGAAAAATACTTTCTCAGATGCCTCCGATTTTGTAATATTGGCCAAAGTTGTGTTTTTTAAAATGGGACACCCCGTATATTATTTTTTCATTGAATAGCTCTTTGTGAGCTGATTTCAATGATATAAAATTTTATACCTTTACCTTCTATAGTTTTGGAGAAACAAAAAATTAATTCCGTTTTTCCATAAGAAACAATAAGCTAGAGAGAGATAAAGTCATTAAATAAATTATGTGTTGCCTATTTATCACCCCCGATTCATAGTTCAAATTAAAAAAAATTAGCTGAACTGAAAAATTAAATTAAGAATTAAGAAATTTGTAGCCGATTTATAGTTCAACTATCTCTTTCTAACTCATTGTTTCTCATGGAAAAAACGGAATTTATTTTTTTTCTCCGAAACTATTGAAGGTAAAGGTATAAAATCTTATATCATCGAAATCAGCTTACAAAGAACTATTTAATGAAAAAATAATGTGTCCCATTTAAAAAAACACAACTTTGGTCAATATTCCAAAATCGGAGGCATCTGGAGAAAAATTCAGTGGCGGACCTAGGACCTTTGGGGCCCGACGCAAAAAAAAATTTGGGGCCCTGACTCAGACTGTTTTTGAAGTTTTTTCAAGCCAAATATAGAAACAAATTTAATTAAACAACAGGTTTATTAAGAACATGAGACAATATTACCTATGGAAACAAGTCAAACAAAATAGTTATTTGTGTACCAAGGCCGTAAAGTTGATCTTTTTTGGCCGAATCAGAAATTTGCGGCCGAGGCGCAGCCGAGGTCAAGCAAATTTCAGGTGAGGCCAAAAAAGATCATTCGGCCGAGGTGCACACAAAATTTTTTAGGCGAGTGTTTGTTCTTGAAAAAAGAATAAAATTCAACAGTAGCTTTAAACTTTATTGATCAAATAAATAATCCAGCAAAGATAGGTAGATACACAATTATTAATAACAAAAACTACGGTAAAGAGAGTGTGATTATAGAAAAAATTGTTTATTTTCACCAAAGTAGCGGCCGTAAAGTAAAAGCGGCCGTGAAGTAAAAGCGGCCGTAAAGTAATAAAGCAAATGCGGCCGTGAAGTGAATGCGGCCGTAAAGTAAATGCGGCCAAAAAAGATATACTTTAGGGATGATATTGAATCCGTAAAACTAATCTTTTTGTGACAGTCGCCTAAAAAAAAAATTGAAATGTTTCAAGTCACAACCAGTATTTCCCTTGGTGGACGCTGCGTATTTCCAGCTAAATTCACCATATTAGTTAGGTTAGGAAAAATCGGGCGCGAAATTTAAAATGGGTTCCTAAACACATTTCAACAATTTTGACAGCAATGTATTTCCTATGGGGGATTCAAAAGAGTGATTTTCAGACGGGAATATCTTGGGTTCTGGACATTTCTTAGTATTTGAACCTATTATACGTCAAACTTTGAACATATTTCTCTATAATTCATGCTCTAATTGTTTTTTTAGACCTATGAATTAAAAATACAAATGATTTTAATTAAAAGTGTCTGTTTTCGGTGGACGTACGTCGGGTCTAAAACCAGCTGTAGGAAAGTGAGGTTGTGTGTTGTGTTATGATTGTTGGTGAATTGTTTATTTATTTATTTATCACTAGTTCAGTCATTTATTTTTCCATTTTTTTGGATTATTGAAGTACATCTACTAACCAAGTATAGTCCGACAAATACCATTTTAAAGTCATGTGATACTGGTGGCAAAAAACGTATGTCCATTGATTATGTCGTTGATATCACCTACAAAAAGCTACTGGTGGTTAATTACTAGTATTGAATTTTAATATATGTTCCCACTAGCATTTTACAAACGCGTTTCTGCAGTAGTATTGACCAATCAGAGGGCAATTTTAATACTTGCAATTGTTGCGAGACTTACTTTTGTCGCATCTGCTATCTGTTGTAATACATTCTGAACTTAAACTGGGTAACCGTTTTCTATTTGCTTCTTTTCGAGTTGGAAAAAGGTTAATATAGTCAAAATTATTAGCTGTGTTTGTTCGTTGTATAATTTTCGAAAATAACTTTGACAAACTAATTGATGACAGTGACGGATTCTATTTCAGGTAAGAATATTATGAACAATAATTAGACAGCAATTTTTTTGTCAATTTTACTATCACCGCTGTTTGAGATGTATTCAACAAGGATAGAGAAAAATCACGTGACTTTAAAATGGTATTTGTTGGACTATATGTAGGTACACTTTTATTTTATTATAATTATAGGTACCCATATACCGGGTGACAATGAAACTACTACCCACGGCGGCATTTCTTAACGGCTCAAGATAGAAATATGCAATTTCGTATGTCGATAGGGTTGAAAATTTTGAACAATTTCAATATAAAAACAATTGACTATCTTTTCCGGTTTCACCGGAAATGGCCTTGACTTTGTTATTTCAAATGGGACACCCTGTATATTATATTTTTTTTGGACTCCCTCAACAATTCTAAATAACTTTTGTGTTACATACCCTATGTCAAAAATTGATAGTTTTTGAAATAGAGTGGCTCAAAAATATGTCGTAATCCCTATTTGTTTGTATTTTATGCAAAAACTGAGTAAAATCATGGTTATTTGCTCCTTATTCAAAGAGATATCCGATAAATAATTAAAGAGAAGAATTGATGCAAGTTAAGAAAAACGCGTTTTTCGATAATGAATGTTTCAGTTTTTGATCGGACCCTGTACGAAACTGGTTCATCTTATGGAAATGAAACTTCCACTACCCAATCCTACTTTTTTATCCTTTATTCAAATATGACAAATTCAACCTTCATAGATACCTGCAAAATTAAAAATTTGATAACCCATTTTCAAGTTGTCACTTCACTCATTTAATTACATACATATGTACCTACGTACATTACGGCTATATTTCGAAAACTATCAATTTTTAACATGGGGTATTCATACAAAAGTTATTTAGAATTGTTCAAAGAGTCCAAAAAAAAGATAATATACAGGGTGTCCCAATTGAAATACCAAAGTCAAGGCCA